TGCCTGTAATCCCAATAATCCCAGTGACCCCAGAGGCTCAGGCAGGAGGAGGATCATAAATTCAAGGCCAGCCTCAGCAATTTAGCAAGACCTTATCACAAAATAAAAAATAGAAAGGACTGGAGATGTAGTTAAGTGGTAGAGCACTCCTGGGTTCAATCCTTAGTTGAAAACCACAAAAGCAAAAAAATAACCCGAGTCTTTTGTATTTGCCTACTGCTTAATAATTCAGGTACTCTTCATTTTTTAAACCTTTTGTTCCAAATTTCTGGAGTTTATTTCCCTTCAATCTGAAAAACGTTATCATGTCTTGTAGTGTAAGTGTTCTGGTGACCAATTTGTACAGTTTTTGTTAATCTAAACATACCTTAATATTTTCTCTTATTTGAGAATCCTCTATTGGATTTAGAATTCTAGGTTATTTTTTCTTTAAGTATTTTAAAAAGGTTCCATTATCTTTTAGCTTGTATTGTTTCTGATGAGGAGTTGCCTGTTATTCTTATCATTATGTGATGTGTCTTTATTTCATACCAATTTTTTTTAATTGTTTTTATTTGTTTCCCTTTTCTTACCATCTTTTCTCCTGATAGGCGTTCATCTTGGACTAAACTCCACTTGGGTTCCAGATCTTTCGCCTGCTTTTACAATCTTCAACTTTATTTTATTATTCAGCAGTTTTGCTGTGAAATACATAGGTATAGGGTTTTTTTGGGATGTGGGTAGGTGTTTATTTATCCCTTTTGGGGTTTGCTAAGCTTCTTGAATTTGTAAGTTCCATCAGTTTAGAAGTTTTTCAGCTACTTTTTCTTTAAATATTTTGCTTTCTTCTTCTGAGGTTTCAATTATATCATTTGATATTAACCCACAAGTTTTTTTTTTTCTCTTACTGCTCTAGTTTGACAGTATCTATTGACTCATTTTTAAGTTTTATTCTGAGCTTGTCTTATTTACCTGGTCTACTTTAAGGCCATTAAATGATTTTTTCATACATTGTATTTTTCATTTGTAGAATTTTTATCTCTTTTCTAGCATTTCTGTATCTCTCTAAAGTTATTTCCATCTCTTTATCCATTCTATCTTTTATTGTAAATTCTTTAGCATATATTTAAATAATTGCTTTGAAGTTCTTATCTGGTAATTTCAGTGACTTGATTATCTGTGTATCTGTTTTGATTTTTATTTTCTTGATTATTGGTCATATTTCCCCCTTGTTTACGCATCTATTTATTTATTTCTTTGTTTAGTTTTTTGGTACTGGGAATTGATCCCAGGGTCACTTAATCACTGAGCTACATTCCCAACCCTTTTTATTTTGAGACAGAGTCTCACTAAGTTGCTTAGGACCTTGCTCAATTAATGAGGCTGTCCTTGAACTTGGGATCCTCCTGCCTCAGTTTCCCAAGTTGCTGGAATTATAGGCATGTGCCACCACATCCAGTGTCTAATAATTTAAAAGAAACTATATATATAAAAACAATGGAATATGAGGGGAGTGTGTGTGTATAGATAGATAGGTTTTTGTTTTGTTTTGTTTTATTGTATTTTTAAGATATTCTAAGTTCTTTCCTCTGTCTGTTGGTTAAGATGAGGGGCTGATTATTCTTATTCCTCCTGGAGCTGTGACTGAGCTCTGGCAGTGATACATCTTTAATTTGATTGAATTTTGCCTCATTGCCAATGCTTCTCACCACCACTAAGGGGCAGTCTTTTTTTTA